CTCTTTGTCTTTTTTCTGGCATCTGCATTTCTAAAATCCTTCTACCAGTATACCCACTGTCCCTCCTCTGGACATGTCCAAACCATCTCAGTCTGGCCTCTCGACTTTTATCTCCCAGTTGTTCAACCTGTGCTGTACCTCTGATGAGCTCATTCCTAATCTTATCCTTGTCGCTCCTAAGAAGAACCTCATCATCTTCATTTCTGCCACTTCCAGTTCTTTCTCCTGTCTTTTTGTCCATGTCTCTGTTTCCAGACGATACAACATAGCTGGTCTCATCACTGTCTTGTAAACTTTTCTTTTGACCTTTTGCTGACACCCTTTTGTTGCAAATCACTTATGAAATGTTTCTCCATCCACTCCATCCTGCCTAGACTTTCTTTTTCACCTCTTTACCACACTCACCATTTTCCTGGACAGTTGACCCCAAGTCTTTGAAGTCCTGCACCTTTGTGACCTCTGCTCCTTGTAGCCTCACTGTTCCACCGGCCTCCCTCTCGTTCACACATGGACTCTGTCTTACTACGGCTGACTTTCATTCCTCTTCTTTCAAGTGCATACCTCCACCTCTCCAAGTTCTGTTCCACCTGTTCAGTTCTCACTACTGATCACAATGTCATCTGCAAACATCATGCTTCATGGGGATTCCTGCCTGATCTCATCTGTTAGTCGGTCCATCACCAGAGCAAACAAGAAGGGGCTCAGAGCTGATCCTTGATGCACTCCCACTTCCAACTTGAAGCTGTCTGTCACTCCTACAGCACATCACCACTGTCCTACTGTCATACATGTCCTGTACCAGTCTAACACACTTCTCTGCCACTCCAGATTTCCTCATGCATTACCACACTTCCTCCATCAGCACTTTGTCATATGCTTTTTCTAAATCCACAAAGACACGATGGAGTTCTTTCTGACCCTCTCCGTACTTTTCCATCAGCGTTCTCAAAGCAAAGATGGCATCTATGGTGCTCTTTCTTGGCATGAAACCATACTGCTGCTTATGGTGTGTAAATAATGTACTGCTGTGTTAAGCACATCTGTATGTCCTTGGTTCACCAAAAAAAAGATTACTTACATGTGGTGCACAAAGTGTAACTAAACAATGGTAAGTTATTTATCTGGTGCTGGGGTTTTACAAACAAAAGGGTAACATCTTTTTGTCCATACTTTGGAGAGCTTTTTCCAATGTTATCAGTAACCCTACGTAATTGTTTTGTCCTTTGTGCTTGTTCTTTTTCAAACTCAACTACTTATGTGTCCTGCTCATAGCCAATCATGCATCAAAATATCCAGCTCATGCAGCAAATGAATGCTATGGCTTTTAGTTTTTGTAACTTTTATACCTTAAATAAATGTACTTTTTAAATTTTTTTTTATAAATGTTTTCCAATATTAAGGTCTCTTCAATTCTTAAAAAAAAAAAAAAAAAAAGATAAAAAAAATCTGTTCCAACTACAGTTCTGCTACTTGTAGCTTTTAGTTACCCCTTTTGCTACTTTGTTTTTAACTTTGGTGGTGGTGCAGAGGTTAGAGAAGGCGAGCATGTAATTGGAAGGTTGTCTGTTCAACTCCCCAAACCGACATTAAAATGTGGGTGGGATTGGTGTAGCTCCCACACCTGTCGCCACCCTCATTTGCCCCACTTGAGCAAAGCACTTAACCCCCACCATCTGCTCCCCTGGGCACCATAGATGTCAGCTCTCTGCTCCACACAGAGGGCTGTGGTAGCTCGGTGGTCTGTAGTTGCATCAGGAAGGGCGTCCGGCATAAAAACAATTGTCAAGTCTTCGTTTGGGTTAGTTCGCTGTGGCAACCTCTGAAGAAGAGAACAGCCAAAATAAGAAGAAAAGTTTTTAACGAGCTTTACTGCTTTTAACTAGCCTTTTGCTCATTTTGTCTTTTAGCTGATGTTCTGCCTCTTTTAGCTGTAATAGTTAAATTTCAGATAATTTCAGCCATCATTAAGCGCTCAGCATTTACACTCGCGTTGAGAATAAACCATATATTTTTACAGGCATCTGCCGGCGTTGGGGGAGAGTCTGGCCACCCTGGTGGGAGCTGTGCCTGTGGCATTCCTGGAGCCCCATCTGAACGCTTACAACCCACTTTCAGTCTTCAACACCAAGACCCCCCGAGAGAGAGCCAGTGAGTGCTCGGCTTTGGCTCACGCTGTGGCTCTTACAGTCAGAGTGACCGATGTGTTTCTGTTCCAGTCCTGAGCATGCCCGACACGGTGGAGGAGATGTGTCCAGAGATGCCTCGGCTCGACAAACTGCTCAAAGACGTCAACGATGTCTCGGAGTCCGGCGCTCGCTACAGCGACATGCCACAGGTCTGGAGAACTGGTTTAAGATTAAAAATATACTTTTTTCTAGATGTTTGGCGTATAAATGAAACTTAGCCACTTTTTTAATTCCCTTGACTTTTTTCTTTAGAATATGACCTTTTTTTTTTTTTTTTTTTTTTTTTACCAATTATTGTTTTTCAGTGTATTTGACATGTAAAACAACTTGCAACAATTGTCCCCTTCCTTAAAAACAACATAACAAAATTGTGCACATCACCTCTATCATGCGTAAAACTGTGACGTTTAACAAATGGACTATATCACAGAAACCTTTATTCTTTAACTGGAATGGGTATTTAAATTAAAGTAAAATTGCATCTTGGTGTAAGCGAAACGTCTTCTGTTACAAATGAAGTCCAGTTGTTTTTGTATTGAACGCTTTTTGAATTCATCATGTCCTGGATGATTGAGAATCTTCACCAGCATCTTGGTGTAAGGTTGTTATTTTGCCTTTACAAACTATATTTACATATGAGTTGCATTTTCTTGCACCTAAAGTGCTCATTTACAGAAATGGTGCATTTATGTTGTAGCTGCAACTAGGCCTGTCGCGATAAACAATAAATCAATTAATCGCATGATGAATGAAAATTATCGACCTCATTGTCATTTATCGGCTTTATCGTTTCTTCGTGTCTCTCTCTCTCTACTGAAGACACGGCTCAACTCTGGTGTTCTTCACTGACCCCTCCCTTTCTCTTTAAAATCCATTTTAACTGTCCAAAATCGTGTTTTTGGATCGTTAAAAGCAGCTAAGCTAACAGGCCGACCGCGTCAAAGCTCTAAAGTGCCACCCTCCCATTTTTCTTAAAGAGACACGCTGCTCGCTCCCTCAGTATCCATCCTTCGGTTCAAACAGTCTTATACTGCCATCCGGTGGTCTTAAAAATGTACTACATGCAAAACAAATTAAATGTTTTTTCTTAAATTTGACAATAATTACTAATTATTGTCCAATTTCAAACAATATTATTGTTTATCGCAATAATTTTTGAGACAATTAATAGCCCAGCAAAATGTTTTATCGTGACAGGCCTAGCTGCAACTGTTTTTTTTTTTATTTCCAAAGTTCAACCTCAAGCAGCCCATTTCTTGCAGGTCATAGAGGTGGTCCTGCCCATGCTGTGCAACTACCTGTCCTACTGGTGGGAGAAAGGTCCGGAGAACTCGCCTCCTGATGCCGACTGCTGCACCATGGTGACTTCTGAACACCTCAGCATCATTCTGGGAAATATTCTCAAGATCCTCAACAACAACCTCGGCATTGAAGACGCCCCCTGGATGAAGAGGATCGCAGGTAAACCTGTCAAGCCTGTAAGAGAGATTGTTAGCATAAAATAAATAAAAGATAAGTACTTAAGTATACATAACTGTAACGTAAAGCCCAAAAAACTGCAGTAGAATTATGAATCATTTTACACATAAGCTCTTGCTTTTGAAAAAAGACAAAAAATAAATCTCTGCCTAAAAACTGTGGTAGGAATGGAGCAGTATAATACAAATGTTTGGTATTTTGTGAGATACCCCCCACCTTTCCAACGCTGGTCACTTTTAATTATTTATTTTCTGCCATATTAAAGCTAAAACAACTAAATCTAAGAAGATCAACCAGAATGTGTAACCACATAATTCCACAGACACTAAGCCTGCTAAATCCCAATAAAGCTCAACACAGTGAGGGACAAATAACTTTGTTTTAAAATATGTATTGTATAATGAAAAGGTATTTAAAAATATATGACCACTGATATTTCAGCTGATATTCTGCAGGCCCATTTAAATACAATTCATGTGTTTAAAAAGTAAAATATCTTCTGTTGGGATTTAATACTGAGAGCCTCAGTATGTCAGGACTTTAATGTTTCTCGTCTCTGTCACCAGTCTACTCACAGCCAATCATCTGCAAAGCAGGAGCTGGTTTGTTGAGATCCCACTTCCTGCCAACGCTGAAGAAACTAAAGAAGAAGACGGTGAAGGTGAACTCTGAAACTCTGCTGTTGCAAACATCCGTCCCGAGAGTTCATCACCACCTTCATGAGAGAGGCTGTGGAGTAATAATATGATGTGGTGTGAAAATCAACGGATCCTTTTGTTTTTGTGCTCAGGTTGTGTCTGAGGAGGAGCTGCTGAAGGCCGACAGCAAAGGTGACAATCAGGAGGCCGAGCTGCTCATCCTGGATGAGTTTGCCATTCTCTGCAGGGATCTCTATGCTTTTTACCCCATGCTCATCCGTTACGTGGACAACAACAGGTACAATATATGCATTTCGCACACCTCTGTGTTTTTTGTTCAGTGAAACTCAGGATAAAATTGTTTGTCTACTACAGGTCCAGGTGGCTGAAGGAGCCGAACGCAGACTCCACTGAGCTCTTCAGGATGGTGGCTGAGATCTTCATCCTCTGGTGCAAGTCCAACGTACGTCTCACTGCTCAGTCTGACTCAATAATTGTTGTGTTAGCAGATCGAGTCCGACTGAATTTCTTGTTTTGTGCTCCGGTGCAGAACTTCAAGCGTGAGGAGCAAAACTTTGTGATCCAGAACGAGATCAACAACCTGGGCTTCTTAACCGGGGAGGGCAAGACACAGATGTCCAAGGTGAAGATGTGAACATGACATGCTTCAGTCATTCTTTTGTTAGGAGTTTTTTAAATGTATTTATTGAATTTAGATGTTGTGTAAAAGGTGCTTTCACAAAAACAAACGGTTCGTTATACTTTTAGGGTTCTTGGAGGATCCTGTCTGCTCTGGTTGAACCATGTTGAAGTTCAGAACTGCAGCTTTATTTTGATTTTCATGTGCTGATTGATTGATTCATGAAAATGAGTCCATCTTAGAGGGCGTTGGAACTTCACAAATCTTTTATAAAAAGAACTAGGGATGCACGATATTATCGGAATGGTATCGTATCGTCCGATATTGGCGATAAAGTTAAATGTCGATCATTCCATCAAAATAACTCACTGATATAAAAGGCTTCTGTTTTAAGTTAATTTTTAATTTAAGAAACTAAGTATATCTATGAATGCACTACTATGCACCTTTCACTTGTCGCTTGTGAACAGGTTGAGTTTAGATTTGTGAAGATTTACAAATTTGCACTGTTTGAGTGTTGTCATTGTTAGAGAGTGAATGTCATAAATAAATCTGACATTAAACATAAGTTGAAGTGTTGCATCATTTTCAGCTCCCTTTTTGGCATCTGCATTTGGTGGCAGGCCGAATTGACAAAGACCATGCAGAATAATGTAGTATTTTAATTCCACAGTGAAAAAGCTATGTAGTCTCTGTAAGTAGGTCTAGGAAAAAAATATATATATATATATCGGTATTGGTATCGGTGATCGGTCAAATAATTTTTAACATATTGGCATATCGGATATTGGCCAAATATCCAATATCATGCATCCCTAAAAAGAACAAAAAGAGCTTATTGGTTGAAATAATGTTCCCAAAACTAACATGTAGCTTTGACTCCTACAGCTCTCCTGGTTCTAACCACTGAGCTGTTTTGTGTGTCTGTAGTCTGGTGGGGATCAAGAGAGGAAACACAAACGCCGCCGTGGAGAATATTACTCCATTCAGACGTCTTTGATTGTAGCGGCCCTCAAGAAGCTGCTGCCTATCGGCCTGAACATGTGCACCCCAGGAGACCAGGAGCTCATCTCTCTGGCCAAGATACGCTACAGTCTGGTGAGCTGAAGTCAAAAACGTTCCATCACTTTTCTAAATATTAAGGTTTGTTGTCTGTTACATAAGCTCTTTACGTACTCAGCTCAAATTATTGAAAGTCTTTAAGTAGACGGATGTTTTTATTGAAGTTGGGAGACGTACAAATGCTTCACTCTTAAAATTTCCTTACGATACGTATGGCACTGTGTCTGTGACGACGCTGCTTCCTGCTCTTTTAACGGCTCATCTCCAAAAGGGAAAAAGTGTGCAACAATTTTTTGCCTGTTTGTGAAAGTCAGTCTTTTAGTAAAATATATCTTGAACCAATAGGTGGATTTTAATGAAACTTTCAGAAAGTAATCACTGGATGTACATCTACAGCCGACGGACAAGTTATTAAGATATTTGATGTGGTAGTAGCTGAGAGTCATTCCCAACACAAGGACTACACCTCATTTGATTTGACTGTTTTAATTCATCTATAGAGACTTAAATTTGTTTTGAATGACATGAAGATTCAGAAAGTGCTTGTGAAATTAGCTTCACGAGCACGTCCGTACGGTCGTGTTGTCACAATAAAATAACACTTGACTGCAGATTTCGATTCACCCTGTTCCCTCCTCACAGAAAGACACAGACGATGAGGTGAAGGAGTTCTTGCTTCAGAATCTCCACATTCAGGAAAAGGTAAGTTAATGTTCACAGATTGCGTCAAGGTGAAGGGAATAAAAAATATTGAAATGTTACAATGAATGAGTATCGGGTAACATGAAACAGTAATTGATTAGTGTGTGTTGTGATTTCAGTCTGACGATCCAGCAGTTTACTGGCAGCTGAACCTTTACAAAGACGTGGTGGTGACGAGTGAGGGACCAGCAGACTCCGAGCGCACAGTGGACAGAATCCAGAGCATCTCTGCAGCAGTCTTCCATCTGGAGCAGGTAAAACACTGTTTTACCTTTGTGCAGGATGACAAATTGATCATATATCAAAACTAGAAGACTAAATCCATTGTTATTCAGGAATAAACTTTGACTATATTCATACTGAGTAAGACAATCTAATAGTTACACTTCCTTAAGCCTTTAATTTGGAATTAAAATGGTCACCCAACAGATACAATATAAGTGGGGATGCTGTTTCAACGTGACCGTTGGCGTTTAAGTTTTACACATTTCAAAATGTTTAACGTTTTAATTTTCCAGACACAAATGCAATCAGACCTCATCAATTCCTTCAAAAACATTTTCTTTAATATCTGCCTTTATTTTTTAGCTGTTTTTGCTCATTTGAGTTTTGAGCCTTTTGCCACTTTTATTTTTAGTTAGAATTTTGCAACTCCTGGATTTAGCTAGTCTTTTTGCCACTTTTAGCTTTAAGTTAAAATAGCATATTTCAAGCAATTCTTTTTAATACACAACTTTCAGCTTTCGTTTAATATACCGTATTTTCTGCTGTACACGTTGCACCGCCCTATAAGTCGCATCAGTTCAAATATGTCTAATAAAGTGCAAAAAAAA